TTGCAGCTGAGATATCCCTCTGCGGTCTCAGCATCCACCCTTGGGAGCAGGGCCAGCCCTTTTTGTGTTTCCACCCTTCCTACCAGTCTCTATGTGGCTTATGTAAATCACTAGTTATAAGACTTCTGTTCAACTAGTCTTCAGTTGTTCATTCAGGTTGCTTGTCCTGTATTTTCGTTGTAATTCCAATTTGGACTTGGGAGGTGAGTGTAGGTTCCACCTACTCTGCCGCCATCTTGGATCTCTCCAGTGGTACTTTCTAATATTTAGAGAAACATTAACTTAGCACCATAGGCACTCACTGTCAATGTCACTTTTATTACAGTTAATTTATCATTTCCATTTGCTGTTCTAGTCAAGCTTATACAGAGAAGCCATCAAGAATTACAAGAGGAGGAAGCAGAATGTTTTACATGTCAGTATGCCAGGGCCTCAAGCTCCAAGATGACAGAAGCTCTTTGTTCAAGACCTTGCACTAGGAATCTCTTCATCTGGCTGTTGCATTGCCATTGATAAGGGATTTCAATTGTGTAAAGACTAGAACGGCTAAAAATTCCATCGATTCCTTGTTAACTAGAGAGCACTAGAGTCATTTGAAAGATACAGACAACTGCTAAAGCTACAATTGGTTTCACCTGAATTATGAAAAATGCTGATTCTATACACATGAGTCAGATTAGAATGATTGGACAAGAAAAGCATATCTTACCTTTCTGGAGATTTGGGGAAATTGCATAAAATACACAAAAAGAAAAATAGTCATGTTGTTAAGACCCAAAGCTTTGTTTCTTTTTGTTGTTCAGGTAGAGTGGGAGGGAGAGGAACAGAGAGAGAGAGAGAGAGAAACATCGAAGTGAAAAAAACACATCGAGTGGCTGCCACCTGCACAACCGACCAGGGGACAAACTGCAACCGAAGTACGCGCCCTTAGCGGGAACCAAACCCGGGTCTCTCAAGACCGCAGGCCGACGCTCTAACCGCTGAGCCAAACCGGCCAGGGCCCAAAGCTTTGTTTCTAAGACTGATGCTGACCAGAACCTAATTGTCCTGAGGGCTTACTAATTAAGGGAGTGACCATGCAAGGAAGGAGAGAAGCTGGTTTGGATGTTATTTCGTCAACAGCTGAATGCAGGAACAGCCAGACAGAAAAGATGCACGGGGCAAGGTTTGGAATAGGGGTGTGGAGATTCCATGCCCTCCCTGTTAGCACTGCTCTCCCAGCATCTCCACATGTTCACAAACCCAGAAGTTCTTTGAATGGAGTGAAATTTTCTATGTTAAGTATCATTTAAGAGTAGATTTGGACTAAAAATCTTCTGCACAGCAAAAGAAACCAGCATCAAAAAAAAAAAAAAAAAAGGGAACCCACTGTATGGGAAAGCATTTGCCAATGATACATCTGATAAGGGATTAATTTCCAAAATATATAAAGTACTCATACAACAAAAGAAAGACAAACAATCCAATTAAAAAATGGGCAAAGGACCTGAATAAACACTGCTCCAAAGAGGACATTCAGATAGCCAACAGACATATGAAAAAATGCTCAAAGTCACTAATCAGAGAAATGCAAATTAAAACCACAATGAGGTATCACCTCACACCTGTCAGAATGGCTATCATCAATAAATCAGCAAACAAGGACTGGTGAAGATGTGAAGAAAAGGGAACACTAGTTCACTGCTGTTGGGAATGCAGACTGGTGCAGCCACTATGGAAAACAGCATGGAGTTTCCTCAAAAAATTAAAAATGGAACTGCCATTTGACCCAGCAATCCCACTTCTGGGAATATATCCTAAAAAACCCTGAAATACCAATCTGAAAGAATATATGCACTGCTATTTTCATAGCTGTGTTATTTACAATACCTAAGATTTGGAAACAGCCCAACAGCCTATCAGTAGATGAATAGATAAAAAAAGCTATGTTCCATTTACACAATGGAATATTATGCAGCTGTAAAAAAGAAGGATCTCTTACCCTTTGAGACAGCATGGATGGACCTGGAGACTATTATGCTAAGTGAAATAAGCCAGTCAGAAAAAGACAAATATCACATGATGTCACTTATTTGTGGAATCTAATGAACAAAATGAGTTGACCAACAAAATAAGTCCTGAGGCATGGAACAGACTGACATATCTCGGGAGTGGGGGAAACATGAGAGAGAGAAAACCAAAAAACTTATATACTTATATGCATAGCCCAAGGACACAGACAATAATGTGGTGAAGGCTGGAGGGGAGGCTTGGCAGAGGGGCTAAAGGGGGGACATCTGTAATACTGTCAACAATAAAAATAAAAAATCATATGAAAATGAAATTATAAAAATCGGTTACAAAAAAAAAGAAAAGCGTATATTTGGCATCCATTTGGTCATCATTTTATTTATTTATTTATTTTTATCCTCACCCGAGGACATTTTTTTCACTTTTTGTTCAGATAGAGTAGGAGGGAGAGAGAGAGAAACATCGATGTGAAAGGAACACATAGAGTGGCTGCCACCCGCACAACCAACCAGGGCCGGGGACAAACTGCAACCGAGGTACGCGCCCTTAGTGGGAACCGAACCCGGGTCTCTCTGGACCGCAGGCCGACGCTCTAACCGCTGTACCAAACCGGCCAGGGCTGGTCATCATTTTAAATGTTTTGTTATTTCCAGCCAGAAAGGCATCCATTGTCTTATTACTCTGCTCTATGATTACAATGATTGTTTATATTTTCTTCTAGACGTTTCTTACCTTTTTAAAAATTGAATTTATTGGGGTGACACTAGTTTAACTAACAAAACTATAGATTTCAGGTGCACAATTCCACAACACATCATCTATATACTGTATTGTGTGTTCACCACCACAAGTCAAGTGTCTGTCCATCACCATTTATCCCTCCAATACCCTCCTTGATAGAGAATTGATTTTTATTTTTAGTGAAATATGTTCCCTAAGATGCTAGTGAATTAAAATGTAAATGTGGTGAGGTCTTTGTATAACTACAACCAGGACAGAGATGACTAGTACAGAGATGACCAGTTTCATATGTAGTCCTATGAAACAATTAACCTTTGCTGACTCAACATAACTTTATTTATAAAAACACCCATTGATCCAGCTACTAAGGAAGAAAAGGGAAACCAGCAGGCAATTTACCTACCCCCTTCAGCCTGCCCTATTCAGCAGATATTAAAATTGGTAGATTCTAAAATATTTAAAAATTTCTAGCTCTAAGTCATTTGCCTTTGTTACTTTTCTTTATAAAGCTGTACAATTACATGAATAAATATTTCAGTTTCCAGAGACTTCATATGGAAGTCTATGTATACTATTGAATCACAAACCACATGGCTGTGTGAAGGTGTGTGAGGGTTGTTATAATTTAATTTTGAACTAACTTTAAAAAGGACCCATTGTGGTGGTGAGTAGTATATTTTTAGAACCTGTGGGGCATGAGAGCATGTTCCTGGAGTCTTTTCAGGGTTCAAGTCCAAGAGCACATGGTTAATCTTATCTAGAGGCAAAGAGAGATATTCTCTTGTTGAACTAACTAGTGTTTCATCTTAAACTTTTATCAACAGAAATCTACAAGGGGTTCCCTGTAATGACTACTTTCCCTAGTAGTTAATAGTCACCAATGACTGCAAATTATATAGCAGTGTGACTTTTAGTAGTTTGAAAATTTAAAAAAAAAATAAATTTGACACAGCCCAGCCGGTGTGGGTCAGTGGTTGAGCATCAACCCATGCACCAAGAGGTCACCAGTTCAATTCCAGATCATGGCACAAGCCCAGGTTGTGGGCCAAATCTCCAGTGGGGGGCATGCAGGCGGCAGCCAATTGATATTCTTTCTCATTGATGATTCCATCTCTCTCTCCCTCTCCCTTCCTCTCTTTCTAAACCTCTCTCTCTAAAAATCAATAAAGAAAAATTAAAAAATAAATTTGGCATGAAACATTAAGTTTAAGGTATTCAATGTGTTACTTTGATACATTTATATACTGTAATATGACTGCCATTGTAGCAATATTTATCACATTACATAATTACAATATAATATTATTGTCTGCATCAGCGATTTTCAACCTTTTTCATCTCATGGCACACATAAACTAATTACTAAAATTCTGTAGCACACCAAAAATATCTCATACTTTTTCCCAATCTGACAAACAAATAGGTATAATTTTGATTTAGTCACACCGGACAGCTATTGTATTGGCTGTTGTCATTTTTTTAAATCCTCACCTGAGGATATTTTTCCATTTATCTTCAGATAAAGTGGGAGGGAGGGAGGGAGGAAGGGAGGGAGGGAGGGGGGGGAGAGAGAGAGAGAGAGAGAGAGAAACAGCGATGTGAGAGACAACCCTGACCAGGACCAGGGACTGAACCAAAACCAAGGTATGTGCCCTTGACCAGAATTGAACCCAAGACTCTTCGGTCCACGGGCCAATGCTCCCATCACTGAGCCAAACTGGCCAGGGCTGTTGTCAATTTTTTTTTTTTAATTTAATAATATAAGGGGAAAGAGGTTAGTGCCCTGACTAAATAGTCAGGTACTGCATGTTTTTAAAATTCTTAAATAGCACACTGGTTGAAAATTGCTGGTTTAGATTCATTATACTGTGCATCAGATCTCTATAGCTTCTTTACTACTTGTCATAAGTTTGTATCCTTAAATACCATCACTCTTATCCTCCCCTTACCCTGCTAACCACCATTTTACTCTCCGTTGTTTTGGTTTTTACAGGTTTGACTTTTTTAGATTCCATACATAGGTTATATCTTAACAATACTTTTCAGTGTAATATCCTCAAGGTCTATCCAAGTTGCTGCAAATGGTAGGATCTCCTCCTTTCTCATGGCTGAATATATTCCATTATGTGTATGTATAACGTCTTTCTTATCCATTCATCCATTCAAATACATTGTTTTTGTACCTTGGATAATACTGTAATAAACATGGAAGTACATATATATATATATAAGAATTCTAAGAGCAGGAATCTTTGCAAATACTCTATCTCACATGATATTCACAACTAAATTATCTATCAAGCCACAGTTAAGAAACCTTTGGCAGTTTTCAAGAAACATTAGTCAAACCATAAGTAAATCTCAATGAATCAGTTAAAATCTACTGTGTATCTCGTCTTGTAGTTAGCATTGTATAAGGTGCTTGAGGAGAAGCAGTTTGACTCGATAAATTTCAAAAATAGGTATTTGAGATTTATTATTCACAGAGTTCTTGGCAGAGTTGTATCTTGAGGTTTCTACTGCTGAGAAGTTTGAGGTTTGTGTTGTCTTTCTTTCAGTCCCAAAAGCTCCGTTCTGAGTTCTCCAGGCTTTGGTGGAATTTCAGGTATTGTCTATTAAAAAAATGAGAAACAAAAAAACAGATGGCAGTGCTTCTTAGATTGTAATTAAATGTAACCTGTGAGACTTCAAAGCAAGTAAAGAGTAAAAAAACAACAACAAAAAAAGTCCTTTGCTACTCAATGACAAGTCTTTATTATGAGAACCCACAGTTGGTCTAAGTAAGTCCCTTTCTAGTCCTATATTTATGACTCTATTATCCAGGCTATGTCAAGTTCTACAGGGGGAGAGTCTGCATCACTGTCAACTGACAGATCACAAATCTGCATAAGGTTTTCCATATTTGGAAATTTATTCTTATATTAGTTACTGACTCTCCACCATGCATAATGCAGTGAGCAAAAAAATATATAAAACTGACTTTAGGAAAAACCTGAGATGCTAACATTTTTGGGGTAACCACTTTAGTGAGATAATAATTCCTATACCACACCATTCACCCATTTAAAGTATAAGTTTAATGGCCTTTAGTATATTCATAAAGTTGTGCATATATCAGTACAATTCATTTTAGAACTACACCCCTAGAGAAACCCCTACCCACCAGCATTCACTCCTACTCCCACACAGCCCTCCCACCTCCAAGCCTGCCTTAGGCAACCATTAATCTATTTTTTGTCTCAATATATTTGTTTATTCTGGATATTTCATATAAATGGGATTATATAATATATAGTCTTTTTTTTTTTTTTTTTACTAGTTTTTTTTACTTAGCATGTTTTTAAGGTTCATCCATATTGTCACATACAAGTACTTCATTTCCTTTTAGGAACAAATAATATTCCATTATATGGATATACCACACTTTATATGTCCATTTATCAGTTGATGGACAGTTTGGATTGTTTCCACTTTTTGGCTCTTATAAATAATACTTCTATGAATATTCAGGTACAAGTTTTTGTGTAGGCATATGTTTTCATTTGGGTATAAAGCTAGAAGTATAATAACTAGGTCATATGATAACTCTGTTTAACTGTTTGAGGAACTGCCAGACTATTTTCCACAGCAGCCGTATGTTTTTACATTCCTAACAGCACATATTGCATTCCTAACAGAGTGAGGGTTCCAGTTTCTCCACATCCTCACCAACTTGTCACTAGTTGGGTTTTTCAAAAATTAATAGCCACCATAGTGGTTATAAAGTGCTATCTGATTGTAGCACAGTCCTTTTGTGGAGTTTGTATTCTAGTGGAGGAAACAAAATAGAGACAAAGGAATAAAATAATTTCAAATTGTAACAAGTGCTCTATGGAAACAAAGGACTGAGACCTGAGAGAGAATAGCAGAGGAGCAATCCTTCTGAAGCTACCCAAAGGTCCCTCATTGCTGGAGGAGATACTTGAGCAGAAACTTTAAGGTTTAAAAAAAATTTTTTTTTCTTTATTGATTTTTTTAGAGAGAGAAGAAGTGAGAGGAGGAGAGAGAAACATCAATGAGAGAGAACATCGATTGGCCGCCTCCTGCATGCCCCAGCACTGGGGGTTTGGCCCACAACCTGGGCATGTGTCCTGATCAGGAATCGAACCAGTGACCTTTTGGTGCATGGGTCAGTGCTCAATCCCTAAACCACACCAGCCAGATGAAACTTTGTTTTTGTTTTTTTTAATTTATTTATTTTTGTTACAGATGTTTCTCCTTGAAACTTTAAGTTTTGAAGAAGAAAACCAAGCCAAGATCTGTGAGAAGACACTCCAAGAAGAGAAAAAGCATGGCCTTGTCCTGGCCTGTTTGGTTCAGCAGTTAGAGTGTGGGCCTGAGCACCAAAGAGTCATGGGTTCAATTCCAGTCAAGGGCACATACCTCAGTTTCTATTCAGTCCCAGACCCTTTTTGGGGTTGTGCAGGAGGCAACCAGTTGATGTCTCTCTCCCCTCCCTCCCACTTTATCTGAAAATAAATGGAAAAATATCCTGAATGAGGGTTTTTAAAAAAAGAAAAAGAAAAAGCATGGCCTAGAAGTGGGAACAGGCTTGATGAGTTTGAGAAACAGCAAGGAAGCTGGTGTGGCTGCAACAGAGGGAAAATAGTATACGGTAAGGTCAGTGGCAGGCAGGTAGGTGCCAGACTGTGTAAGACCTCAAGACTGTATGATTTCTGCATAAGACTGTAAGAGCAGGAAATGGCATTGGATACAACTGTATACCATCATTAGGTTTTAGCCCCAAGGTAGATGTGCTCCTGATTTCGTTTTAAGGTCACTTTGCTGCTGTGGGGAGAATGGAGTGGCCCAAGAGCAAGGGACAGGACCCTCCTGCACTCACCAGGTCCGGCAGGTAGTACCTGTGCACCACTTGGGACCCCGCGAACATGGCCAGGAGGCTGGCGGTGACCATCTTCAGGTAGGTGGTCCAGGGCACACCTGCGGGCATGGTCGGCTGGCTGGGAGGGGAGGGAAATGGGGGCGCTGTTAGGTTTTCAGCTCACGACTAAGCCCAGTTGAGAAACAAGCCTCACAGGATTTCCCTGGCAGACATCAAGTGGGGGCGGGGCGGGGGCAGAGTTTCTCTCCCCCCCCCCCCCTCCCAGCATATGAAACGAGGGCACAGAGAAGGCAAATGTCCCCTCCAGGCCTGAGACCAACCTTCAGGGGTTTCTTAGCCTCCGGGGCTGGGCTTTCAGAATTTAAAAGCAGCTCTGGGGCAGCAAGCAAAAGGCCGACCCTGCAAGGTGACCTCGCGAGGTTTCCCGTGCCCCTCAAACTCTAGGGCTGGAACTGCAGACGGCAGACCCACTGGCCCTCAGGCGCGCCGAGAGCACGGCTCAGCGCCGGCGGAAGTGCGTTCAGGTCAGCAGGCGGCCAGCGCCCGACTCTCAGTGCTGGCGTTGGGGCCCCGCCGGACAGGAAAGCCGGGTGCACTGCCCCGCCGGCATGTGACCCCGCCGGAAATGGGACTCAGGGCCGGAACCAGAGTTATTTTAAAAGCGGATCCCCAGAACTTTCCCGGCCCAGGCTTTGGTCCCCCTCATCACTCCCCTATAGCAAGATTTCCCTGGCCAATGTCGAGTCTTGGGCTGGCTCTGGCTAGAGTACTGCCTCATTTGTCCTTTCACATGCACCAACAAATTGCTTGCTTTAACTACCTTTTACAAGCCGGTGGAGAAGGGCACACTGAGCAGTGAGTGCTCAGGTGGTCACACACGAGTGAGTGAAGTTAAAACCCCTCTGTCCACCCCACCGGTGTGGCTCAGTGGTTGAGTGCTGACCCATGCACCAAGAGGTCATTGGTTCGATTCCGGGCAGGGCACATGCCCAGATTGTGGGCCTAATCCCCAGTGTGGGGCATGCAGGAGGTGGCCAATCGATATTCTCTCTCATTGACATTCTATCTCTCTCCTCTTCTCCCTTCCTCTCTCCTCTAAAATCAATAAAGAAAAAAATATTTTTAAAAAACCCTCTGTCCTTGTGCTGGGCATCCTTTGATACTGAAACAGCCCCACTGAGACAGCTATACCCTTGTGCTATGGTACTACTGGAAGAGAGGGAACCTGAAATAGACAATATTTATGCATTCTTAGGTTGTGCTTTGGTTATAGATTGACTTTTGTTAAGCAAAAGGTTAATGCAGGACAATTCTGAAGGATTATGGTTGTATGCATAAGATGAATCATGGATGATACACTCACTTTTTAAACACTTAGGTATATTTGACATAAAATAAACCACATATTTTTTTTTTTTTTTTTTTTTATCCTCACCCGAGGATATTTTTCCATATTTTGTACAGATAGAGTGGGAGGGAGAGAGAGGAAGGGAGAGAGAGAGAGAAACATCGACATGAAGGGACACATCGAGTGGCTGCCACCCGCACGACCCAACCAGGGCCGGGGACAAACTGCAACCGAAGTACGTGCCCTTAGCGGGAACCGAACCCCGGTCTCTCGGGACCACAGGCCGACGCTCTAACCGCTGAGCCAAACCGGCCAGGGCTAAACCACATATTTAAAGCATACAATTTGATGAGGTTTTATATGGTTGTGTAACCATTCTCACAATCAAGATAATTAACTTATCTATCACACCCAAAACATTTCTTTGTGCCTCTTTTAATGCCCCCACATAGCCTCCTTTCCTGGGCAACCACTGCAAGCAAGCTTACTAGGTTTTTGAAAGGGAAAGGAGGATTGGGAAGAAGAGGGAAACAAGGTGAAGTGACTTGGCCCTTCTTTTGTTGTCCCATCATACAAGGTCTCTTTAAAAAAATTTTTCCTCTATTGATTTTTAGAGAGAGAAGAGAGATAGAAACATCGATGAGAGAGAACATCGATTGGCCACCTCCTGCAGGCCCCCCACTGGGGACTGGGTCTACAACCTGGGCATGTGCCTTAACTGGGAATTGAAACAGTGACCTCTTAGTGCATGGGTTGATGCCCAACCTCAGCCACACGGGCTGAGCCATACAAGGTCTCTTTAAAGAGACATAGCCCTGGCCGGTTTTGCTCAGTGGTTAGAGCGTCGGCCTGCGGTCCAGAGAGACCTGGGTTCGGTTCCCGCTAAGGGCACGTACCTCAGTTGCAGTTTGTCCCCGGCCATGATTGGGTTGTGCGGGTGGCAACCACTTGATGTGTCCCTTTCATGTCAATGTTTCTCTCTCTCTCTCTCTCTCTCTCTCTCTCTCTCTCCCTCCCTCCCTCCCTCCCACTCTATCTGAACAAGAGAATAAAAAAAATGTCCTCCGGTGAGGATAAAAAATAATAATAATTGAGACATATTTGGCAAAGATAGGAGATTTCTCCTAGGCTTCCCCAAGCAAGGTTCAGAGATGAATAAGTTTGTTTTCCAGACAGATTCAGGGTGGTGGGAGACCCTGATAGACTAGAAGCCACTTTGTTGATTGCTTCACCATTCCCAAGTTCAATGCCCTGCTCCTCGACAACTCTTCCAGTAAACTCTTCCTTTTGTAAGACAGAACTAAGCAGAGGCCCCTGGTCTGCTGAGGTTGTGAATGGAGCTGGCAGACCCACAGAGTGCAACACCCCACAATGAGATCCTGACTGCCCAAAGGTAACTCTTCCTGAGTGAAAACCTCTTGAGAAAAGTTTGCAGCTCTTTACACATATTTTCAGTCACCAGAATTCTCTCTTTGAAATCAGTGAGGCAAGCCACCTGCTTTGAAACTTTTCTAGATTGTGATCCTAAGTGGTTAAAAAACCAGAGAAAGAGAGGATGTGATACTGTTCATTAATTCAAGAAATATTCTATGGAAACCTACTGTTTTGTACTGGTCTCAGTCTACCAAGAACCAGTGTTGTGACTGAACCAACCTTTATGGTTCTTATTATGGTTGCAGGACACCCTTCAGCAATAACTGTCAGGAAACTTTGAAAAGATACAGGTTTATTATTTACAAGACCTGGAGCCTGGCCAATGTGGCTCAGTGGTTGAGCGTTGACCCATGCACAGAGGTTGCCAATTCGTTTTCTGGTCAGGGTACATGCCCAGGTTGTGGGCCAAATACCCAGTGGGGGACATGCAGGAGGCAGCCAATCCATGTTCTCTCTCATCAGTGTTCTCTCTCATCGATGTTTCTTTTTTTTTTATCCTCACCCGAGGACATTTTTCGATTTTTGTTCAGATAGAGCAGGAGGGAGAGAGAGGAGAGAGAGAGACAGAAACATCGATGCGAAGGGACACATCGAGTGGCTGCCACCCGCACGACCAACCAGGGCCGGGGACAAACTGCAACCGAGGTACATGCCCTTAGCGGGAACTGAACCCGGGTCTCTCTGTACCGCAGGCCAACGCTCTAACCGCTGAGCCAAACCGGCCAGGGCCATCGATGTTTCTATCTCTCCTTCCCCTCTCTCTAAAAATTAATAAAGAAAAAATTTTTTAAAAAGACCTGGAAATTACACAACACACATGGGGCCCCACAGCAAGGTCACAGGTAGAGAGAGAGAGCAAATGTACTTGTGCATAGGCCTCAGCTTCTGCTTTTATTGGGGTCAAGGTTGGGGGCCTAGGATTTCAGAGTTCACTCTTTATCAGTGACTTTAAAACAAAAGGGACGCCCTGGCTGGTTTGGCCCAGCGGTTAGAGTGTTGGCCCATGGACCAGAGAGACCCGGGTTCAGTTCCCACAAGGGCATGTACCTCGGTTGCAGTTTGTCCCTGGTCCCGTTCGGGGTTGTGTGGGTGGCGACCAGTCGATGTGTCTCTCTCACAACCATGTTTCTCTCTCTCTCTTCCTCTCTCTCTCCCTCCCACTCTATCTAAAGATAAATGCAAAAAGAAAAAAAAATGTCCTCCAGTGAGAATAAAAAACAAAAGAGAGGAAATTTAAAGTACAGGAAAAGGAAAAGAACAAACAGGTAGCCCAAATGGCCATTTACTGAAATCAACCAAGATTTCTAAAACAAAGGAACTTGGGGGGGGGGGGGGGAGGACGGGACGATGGACTGGCTCTTCAGGCGCATGCGCGTGCGTATGCGCGTGCATGTACACGTGCGCGTCTGTGTGTGGCAATGTGTTTACTATAGATAGCCAGTCTATGATGTGGATGCCTCTTTGAAATAAATGCCTTGGCCATCAAAGCTTAAGTTAGGCACTTGCTTTACAAGAAAAAGAAACAAGACACAAGAAAGAATTAAAAGAAACAATTGTCAGGGTTTCCATATACCTACCATGAGTCAGGTTCTGAGTAGTACCTACTAAGGGACACAGTATTTGTAAAAGTTCTGAAAAGTTTCAAAATATTAGGTTTTGGCCCTGGCCGGTTTGGCTCAGCGCCAGGGCGTCAGCCAGCGGACCAATGAGTTGCGGGTTCAATTTCAGCAAAGGGCACATACCTTGGTTGCGGTCGTCCCCGCCCTGGTGGGGGTCATGCAGGAGGCAACCAGTTGATGTGTCCCTCTAGTGTCAATGTTTCTCTCTCTCGCCCCCTTTCTTTTCCTCTCTCTCCCTCCCACTCTATCTGAAGACAAATAGAAAAATATCCTCCGGTGAGAATTTTAAAAAATAATTAAAAATTAAGTTTTAAACAATTTCCATAATACAAATTAATCACTCTGTATTAACTCATGAAAGCCCTTTTTCGGATCCCAGAATGAAGAAGCCACATGAAGCACAGAGCCACAGCCATCTCCCAGCCATGTTACATTAGTAAAAAATAAACCTTTGTTTCTGTAAACCAGTGGCATTTTAGAATCATCTGTTACTACAGCTTAACTAGGGGAAGCGAACTAATCCAGCAGCCATGTTTTTCACCATGCCAACTAGAGAAAGATAAAAAGCTGTCTCCATTAAGAATTATTTAATGAAGTCCTTGTGGAAACACCAGTGACAACTTGAGAACTACTGAGGCAAAAACTAGCTGTAAGAGCCACTGAGAAAGAAAACAGGGGTAGTCTGGAAGGTTCTAAAGAAAACGTGATCACCGCGCCCAAATGGCATCTACTATCACAGACTCCAAACATTAATATTTTTATGTATCCAAAATAGACAATGACTCATGTCAAGTTTTACATTTTACAAAGCAGTTCTACAATTACCTCAATTTACAGATTTGGAACCTGAGGCTCGGAATGGTGCAGTGGCCTAAACTCCCAGGTTTTTTTTTATTCCAGACTCTTTTCTCCCACATCACGCTTGATAATTAATTCAAAACAGTTTTTTGTTTTTTTTTTTATCCTCACCCGAGGACATTTTTCCATCTTTTGTACAGACAGAGTGGGAGGGAGAGAGAGGAAGAGAGAGAGGGAAACATGGATGTGAAGGAACACATCGAGTGGCTGCCACCCGCAGGACCAACCAGGGCCGGGGACAAACTGCAACCGAGGTCCGCGCCCTTAGCGGGAACCGAACCCGGGTCTCTCCGGACCGCAGGTGGATGCTCCAACCGCTGAGCTAAACCAGCCAGGGCTCAAAACAGTTCTTATCAGGATACAGTTTTGGGTGGAAAGGCCCGCATATCCTGATTGTTAAGCCAAACAGCCTCATCTACACAGCGCCCCCAGAGGCCTTCGACACCCATTCACCCCACCACCCGCCCACCACCGGAGAGGCGCGAGGCGGAGGTGGGGGGAGCAAGGGCTTACGTCAGCGGAGCGTTCCCCCTCCCACCTATTTGTCCTCCACCCTTCCCGAAAGGCCAAGCGGCAAGAAGAAGAACCCAGAAGGGGACAAACCTGATTGGGCTGTCCTGCCACACGTGACGCCCACAAGTCGTGGGATTTGGCTCCGAACAAACGGAAGCGCCGCGCAAAAGAGGGGTTTGCACTGGGGGGAGGGGGAACTGGGAGCTGGGGGGAGGAGCTTGAGCGTTAGCCGCTGTCCCAGTTCTGCCAGCAATCGTGTCCAAGTCTCTGGTTATTGCCGTTCCGCTGCACAGACGCCACGATATTACAGCGACCAGTCGCTCGCTCGCCGGGCAGGAGTAGCCGTTGCGCCAGCGGCAGCAGGCAATGGAAGCGGAGAACGCGGGCAGGTAAGGCCGGGGCGGAGCGCCGCCCCTCCCCCCGCGCCCCTCACGGCGGGCCGGCCGGCGGGCGCGCGCACGCACGCTGGGGTCTTGAAGCGCCGCTGCCCGATACAAAGGCCGGAGCCGCGCGTGCGCACTGCCGGCCTGCCGTGGCCCCTCCTCACCTCGGCTGCTCTGCGCACCTGCCCCCCTCTTCAGTCTTTCCCCGCATCTAGCTGGCTTTAAAATTCGTTAGTAACCTCTCAGCGGTCTCCTGTTATATTTCTGGTCGCCTTGGCTCAGTTTCCCTTCACCCCTCTTGATCATGCAAAGAGCCGTCAACGTGGAGTAGCCCTCGCATCCCTTCACGAGTTTTCCTTTTAGAGTTAGATTTATGTGGCTTCCTACCTCCAGAGCTTACTAAAAGCAACGTCAGGGACCCCAAGGTAGCGCATTGCCATCCTCGAGCTCTTGAATTCTGAGACTATGAATAGCACTCCCAAGAAGTCATCAAAAATGCCATCCAGGGGTCTTGGGGACGAGCTTGGAACGTAGAGATTTCGAGATCTGAACTGGCAGAAACTCAAGTGAAAAAATAATTAGATATGGTAAATAACAGGATCTTTTTCTTCTTTCTTTCTTTCTTTCTTTCTTGTTTTTGTTTTTTTTTTTTTGGTACGTGCCCCTAGCGGGAACCGAACCCGGGAGGACTCTCTGGTCCGCAGGCCGACGCTCCAACAGCTGAGCCCAACCAGCCAGGGCTCTTCTTTCTTTAAAAAAAAAAATAAACTGATGATCTGTATTGGAATAAAATACTGTTGGAACTATGAAGAATTATCCTGACTTTAGTGCTCTGGGCCTGTTCATGTCTATAAAATAAGGAATCTCTGGAATCAGGGCTGACATGCTGCAAATCCCAGTTATGTGGAAGGGGTTAAGTAACCAAAATAGTCTTAGGGTTTAGTAAAGGAGATAACATGTAGGTGAAGTGGGAACTTTATCCTGACTTTGTAGATGGAATGCTGAAGTAAAGAAAGTGCTCCACTTCTTTCCCAGAACAACTTTCTAAAAAAAAGGATTCACCAGAACTTGTGGAAGTCACTGGCACCTTTGCGATCTACTTCAGATCAGGGTTGAAACTTGGGTAAAGCCTACCATCAAAGGAATTCCATATCATAAGACCTTATTGAGTGCCTTGTAAAGCAAAGTAATAGGTCTCTGGTGCACTGTTTAGCTCAAAATTCACTTATATTCTGTGGTCACTTAATCAATGGAGTTATAGACCATATTTTAATTTTGACTTGCAAAATGTTAATGCCAGGAAATGTGGAGCATTCTGTGTTAATACTGTAAGGAGTTTATCCTTGGGAATTCTGAAATGACAGGCCCAGATAACCTAGAGAAAGTGGTTGTCTGTCACTCTTTGTGCCAATCAAGGAATGGACTGGAATGCTGGGTAGTAATGAATTTGCTTTTTATTTTGGAAGAGTAACTTCAAAACATTCCAAGAGCCCTGGCTGGGTAGCTCAGTTGGTTGGAGTATTGTCCTGTACACCGGAGGGTTGAGGGTTTGATTCAGGGCATATACCTAGGTTGTGGTACCATCCCCAGTCCAGTGCGTAGGGAAGGCAACCAATGGATGTTTCTCTCTCTCCTCAATTTTTTTCCCTCTCTCTCTCAAATCAATAAAAACATATCCTTGGATGAGGATTAAAGAAAAAAACAGCTCTGGCCAGTTTTGCTCAATGGTTAGAGTGATGGCCTAAGGACCAAAGGGGTATGGGTTCGATTCCCGGTCAGGGGCACATACCTGGGTTGTGGGTGTTGTGCCCTAGTGGAGGTTGTGCAGGAGACAACCAGTTGAAGTGAGACACATCGATGTTTCTCTCTCTCTCTCTCTCGCCCCTTCTCTCTTCTACTCTATCTCAGAATCAATGGAAAAATATCCTCTGGTGAGGATTAACAAAAATAAATAAAACAATTTAAACTGTTAAGAAATTTAAAAAGAAAAGAAAAAAAATTCAAAGAAAAAACTTCATGGATATAAACTCTTTGAAAAAGAAGGTAATTCGAGAGTCACAACAAGAACTTAAGCCTAACCAGAGAGGGGAAAGAAGAGGGCCAGTGTGTTTCTAATGAGATCAAGCATGAAAAAGGTGTTTACCAAAGATGCAAATATGATGCCAAATCAAAGATGACTAGAGAAGTGTGACAACGACCACTGAGAATACAGATAGAAAAGATTAACCCTCAAATGAAATCAGGCATTCTGAAAATCTTAAAGAGCCCTGGCCTGTGTGGCTCAGTTTGTTGAGCATCATTCTGTGCACCAGGAAGTTGACAATTCAATCCCCCATGGGGCGCTCGTGGGAGGCAATGGATGGATGTTTCTTTCTCTGTCCCTCTCCCTTCCTCTCTCTCTCAAAATCAATAAAAACTTAAAAATAAAACATTTTAGAAATGTTAGAGCAAGAACTTTTTTAGTTGGGTGTGGACAATGAGAAGGACAGAAAGGTTTGGGTTTTCTGCCTAGTTTACTGAGTGGTGTTAATAGTGACAGAAGCATAAGCACTTAGTTCTGATTTTGATTTTTCATGTCCTATGTTAAGAAAAATGATTGTAGCCCTGGCCAGTTTGGCTCAGCAGTTAGAGCGTCGGCCTGCAGACCAGAGAGTCCTGGGTTCATTTCCTGCTAAGGGCACGTACCTCGCTTGCAGTTTATCCCTGGCCCCAGTTGGGGTTGTGTGGGTGGCAGCCAGTCGATGTGTCTCTCTCACATCGATGTTTCTCTGTCTTTCGCTCCCTCTCTCCCTCCTGCTCTATCTGAAGATAAATGCAAAAATGTCCTTGGGTTAGGATTTAAAAAAAAGAAGAAGAAGAAAAATGATTATAGACTGGAAATGGGGGAATGAATGTAAGAGATTTAAAACTCAAGATCGATGAGGGTGTTTAAGAGAACTTTCAGTTGCTCTAGTCTAGCAGAAAACATATTTCCTGGCCTAGATGAGTTGGATTTCAACTGAGAGGCTGGATTTTGTAGACAACAAGAGAGGGACCTGAAGCCTGAAAATAAATATGTGGGTTCCTGTTTCTTCCAGAGGTGAAATCTGCTCTTTTAATATATGGACTTTGGTCCTAAAAAAATGTTTACTTCTCAGTTATTATTGAGCATATTTAAAAGGAGCTAGTAACCACTAAGCTATAGTATAAGTTCAGAAAAAAGCAAGACCTACAAAACTAGGCCATTTCCTTTTACATAATGATTGATACTAGGCTAGACAACATCAGGAGGAGGATGACAGGAGGTACCTAAAATCTTTAATCATCTGCTGTTTTTATTATTGTTATTAGCTGATTTATTACATACAAGGTACTGTTGTGTTTTGTACATGTTAACTAATTTAATCCTTAAAACCAATGAATTAGGTGCAACTATTCCCATTTTACAGATGTGGAATGTGGACATAAAGCGGTTAAGGAACTTGCCTGCAGAGCTAGTAAATGTCAGAGCTGAAATTTGAACCCAGGCAGTGTGGCTTCAAAGCCTGCCTCCCTAACAGCTGTGCCATACTACTCTTTTTGTGTGGGCAAAATGAAGGTGGACTGATAGCAGTCTAATTAGGTGAAATCAAAACTGGTTTACTTGCCTTGGTTGGTTTGGCTCAGCAGTTAGAGCATCGGCCCGCAGACCAAAGAGTCACAGGTTTGGTTCTAGCCAAGGGCACGTACCTCGGTTGCAGTTTGGCCCTGGCCCTGGTCAGGGTCGTGTGGGAGGCAACCAGTCGATGTGTCTCTCTCTCATCGATGTTTCTCTCTTTCTCTCTCTCCCTCCCTCCTTTCCTCCCTTCCTCTCTATCTGAAGATAAATGGAAAAATATCCTCAGGTGAGGGTTAAAAAAAACAAAACAAAACTGGTCTACTACTGAGAGAGTCAAGAGCAGGCTGAAGGGAGGTCTGTACTGATGTGCCATTTAGTTCTACCCCAACTTTGTTCTTTTCAGAAGTTTAACAACTTCAAGGTCCTGATGAAATGATAAAATTTGTCCATGTCCTAACTCTGGGACCGGTTTGTGGAATTGATGGGTTGAATCAGAATCCATCCCAACTGCCTGGGATGGTGAATCATCTTTTACAAAAAGAGGCACAATCCTTTGCTGAGGTGTGGAAAAAATCAATGCCACAAGTGTGCGATGAGGGAGAGGTGATAAAAGGCAGTTTTCACTGATGGTGAACTCAGTATGAATCATTCTGTGAGTGCCAGTAAAGTGAACGTATTGGGTTCTGGAATGTGTCTCCAGAATGAGGAAGTCGATAGCCCTGCTCCGTTTCAGGATGATGAGGCTATATCTGAAGTAGCTTTATGTTGTTTGCTTCTGAGCACTAAAAGTGCCCAATAGTGAGGAAACTTGAAGTCATACTATATGAAGAGTAGTTAAATGATCTGGGGACTCAGGGGATGCTGTATCTCTGTGTTTACAGTTTCTAGTAGACTGCACAGCAAGCACCCAGTAGTGCATGGTGGACACACACACTTCTGCCTAAGCAATGTTGAATGTGGTCTTTAAATAGCGATGATGGTATTCCATCACAGTTTATAGAACTAGTCCTTTTTATTTGAGCATGTGGATTATTTAGCATTGGTTGTTATGTTTGTAAGTATTCTATGTTGTATATGCTTATTTAAATGAAGATGATAAAATGTTGCTATAGACTGAATGGTTGTGTCCTTCCAAAATTCAGTGTTGAAACCTAACCCCCAGTGTGATGGTATTTGGAGGTGAGGGGAGCTTTTGGAGGTGATTAGGTCATGAGGGCAGAGCCCACAGAAATCGGGTTAGTGCCCTTATAAAAGGGGCCTGAGAGAGCTCCGTCACCCCTTCTGCAGTGTAAGCATACAGGGAGAAGGGGCCCTCTGTGAACCCAGAGGCAGACACTGAATCCACCAGCACCTTAAAAATGGACTTTCCAACCTCTATAACAAAGAAGTAAATATTTGTTGTTCCTTATCCACCCAGTCTATGGTATTT